TCGCTCATCTCTCTCGTGGTCGGTGTCTTTGGGCGCGGAGTTCTGTGGGTCTGTTGAGAGCTATCCCTTCGACTGCTCAACCTTGTGACTCTGCCACTCAGACGGTCTGGTGTCGACTGTTCGGGCTGTGCACTGTCTTCTTTGGGAACAGGCAATGACTGTTTCCTCTTGCGACTTCGAGTCTGGCTCCCGGTAACCGTCACGATTTCTTCAGGTGGCTCTGTGTCGCGCTGTTCCCTTGGCTTGAGCGCAGAATCCAAGCTGTCCTTTTGTGGGCCCGTGGCCTCAATGTTTGCTTCCCGCTCTTTATCAATCAAGGACTTGGCCGCTTCAGTAGGCGGTCGCGAACCATCTGGCCATATGTACTGTAGTACGTTTAGCACGGTTGAATGTCACAACCAGCAAGAGCGAACTTACGTGGTGTCGAATCTTCAGCATCGGATCCAGGATTTCTTCCTCAATTGTCCGCCGGACATCCGCCGAGGCGGGGATGAAAAACTTTGGCAAGCCCTTGCGCGAAAACCCTTTACTTTTGTATCCCGGTGTCGCTTCCAGGAGCTCGCGCTTTCTGAGCAGCTCCGTCATTTGCACGATGGTCTGTCCATTGCAATCTACAAACGGTCAGAGTATTGTACGAGAAGTATAGGTGATTCACTAACGAAGCTTCTCCGTGAAGGTCGACGTCTGATTCGGGTAGCCCTCCGTCTGAATGATCCGGATTGCTCTTCTTAGAAGGACCAGGCTAGTCATTTCTTGGAGTGCTTGGCCTTCTTTCGGTCGCAAGAGGCAACGATAACAGGCGTGGACATCAGGTAACCTGGCATCGTCGCTATCATTGTATCCGTAGCAGGGTAAATGCTGATGCGAGTGGCAGAAAGAGCATTCGATCTACAAGGATTAGTTTCTGTTGTGTTCTATCAGGCTCACCACTTACCATGGATTTTGCTTTTTCTTCACCTTCCCAGCCGCATTGACACCTCACGTTGCCTTGGCCTTCTTCAGCGCGAGAAGCATCCAAGCCATGAGCTTTCGAATACTCCATAATCTGACGAATACTTTCCTCTGAAAGAGTTGGCTTTGGAACTTGTACTGGTCGTATAGCGCTTGGTTCTTCGGACTGAGGACGCTCTTCAGGGATGATAGGCTGTGTAGGAGACAGGTCACTGTCGAATTGAGAGCCTGAATCTTGAGTCTGGGCATGTTAGTCGCCTTTCTAAGGACATTTGTTATGTCTCAAGCATATTTCACTCACTCGCAACATCCCTTCCAACTGCAGCCTTTCGGCAACATCCTGGGTCGGCTCCACCGGATCAGCAGCTTTCTGCGATGGTGCAGAAGAAACAACATGGTCCTGGGTTGGTGGAGCCTCTTCATTGGTGTTGTTGCTCTTTTCAATCACGTTGATTGCGGCCTCGCTCTCTTTCTCTTTAAATCCCACGTCATCCATTCTCTGAACTATATCGGTATGTTCAAGACCAGGTGGTATTTGGGGCAGAGCTTCTGAGCCTTCTGGTTCAGGGCCAGTCCACTTCATAGAAGATACTCTAAGTCCCACACTGGACACAGTCAGCTACTTAGCCATCACAAGGGTCAAAGTTCTCCTTACGTATGCCATCCACTATCCATTAGACCGCATGACTGCGACTCTCTTTTCCAGTCTTCTGTATGGGGAAACTTAATCGTGTCATCTTTCGCTCCATTGAATCCCGGAGGCTCATATTCAGGAGGGCAGTTATCAGTGTAGAACAAATGAACCCCTAGATTGCGTTTGTCTGATTTGACTTCGGTTAGCCAATTCCCTCTTCGAATGAACTGAAGATACTGACTTGGGAGAGCTGGTAAGAAGGCACTCAACGTGATCAGCCGCCTCACAATCGTCTCCAAGCCTACTCTGGCTGATTGGGCAGTCTTGATGTCAGCAACTAGTCCCACTGGTTCTATCGACAGACTTTCGAGGCGGTGGTTGATATCTCCAGACTCTCCAGAGTATTTGAAGGAGAACGTGTAGGACTCGAGCACATTCTCGGGGGCATCCTTGTCGACGAGGACGGTCAACTGGACGGCTTCCAACACATTCTTGCTTAAAGCGTCGAAGATGCCGTTTTCCTGCGCATGTCAACATGCTGTAATGCGCGATTGACTACGGAGTCATACCAAGATGTCAAGGATCATATCCGCCTTGGGATCGGAGCCTCGAAGGATGATCTTCAGCGGCTGGCCCCTTTTGCCTTTGCCAAAGGGAACCTGCGCATCAGACTCTAGCGTAGGACATGGCGTATTCCGGTCGAGGAATTCGCGGTAGGAGAATTTCCTTTCGCGCTGGGTTTCCTTGAGGTCCCTGTCATCGAAACAGGGAAGCGGTAGGAACTCCCTGCGGCATAACACAACTATAAGATTCTAGCTCTATAGGGAATCGAGGCGGAAACGCGACGAACCGAAGGTAGAATAAGGTACCAAACTAGTCAGGTGCGTCAGGCGGATGTCGGTGACATGCCCACAAGGGGATGATCATTATTGAGGCCCTACCGATACATGCAGCATGATCTGAACCATCTCCAAGCTCTGTTGCTGCTGCTGCGATATACTTTCTTTAAGCACTAATCTTGGGGGGGCTCCAATGACGGTCTGGGTCTGGACATTGGCTGTGGGCCCGCTACTCGTCGCCGCATCATGAAGGATGCGAGGAGGAGGCTGTACTTGAACGGAGGGGTAAAGCGGATTGTTGTCCCTAAATCTGACCATGCTGGAAAGCGGCAAGATGAATGATGATCTGAAGAATGCAGTATGGGGTGCGTGTGATCAATGGAAGGAGTTCGCAGAGAGAGGGGAGGAATCAGAGCACGGTAAAGCAGAGTAACATTGCAGGTGAGCATGTTCGGGGAAAGCAGACCGACCAAGGGCGGGTTGGCGGTTGGTGGTTGGTGGTTGACGACATCCGACCGACAACACCCAAAGTACAGTACAGTCCGGGTCACGGGGAATGCGAAGGCCATTTTTCCTGCCAGCAGAACCCGCCTTGTTATAATGAATCATTTCTAGGGTAAGTATAATCTATCTAGTGTCTACCGTAGATTCGAAGGAGCTTCTCTGGTTATTTTAGCTTTCTCTGGAGGGTCGCAACGGAAAGTATATGTATTGATCAAGATACTATAGAGCCATTCAATTACTTCATTCAACCACTACTAGTGATCTTACTATACAGCTTGTGATTGGTAGTTCTACCACAGGGCTAGAATCAAACCGATCAACTAGTTATTGAAGAAATGGTCAAAAGTGATTGAATGCCTACGGCCGAGACTGTCAACTACTTACTGTATCGTGTGTACGTACAATAGTAATTAATCTCTGGAACCGGCAACCGATGATCGATAACGCGGGCGAGACGGTCTGACTTTATCTGGCGCTTCCCCGCAATTGTCCCTGACAAGTCTGGCACATCGATGTCTTTTCCTTGATTGCACACAAAACAACACAAGAAGATAGTAACCGATCTGCGCTTCCTGCCACGAGATATTGCTCATTGGATACCGATTTCCCTCACATTGGTGGGCTCGGTATTCGAAGAACTTGGCAAAGAAAAACATACACAGTACTCATCATCCTTGAAGAGCCCCCACCATGTCACGTGTACTGTTTCCGAGGCAAGTGGCGAGATGCCAGTCTTACTCAGTAGTACTCATCCATGTAGTCTTGCACGAGGCGTTCCCTCGTCAAACGGACAGACAAAGCAGAAAAATCCACCAAGCCTGCAGAGTAAGACAAAAAAAAAAGTGTCATACGCACTGATAGAAAGTGAAGGACGATCAAAAAAAGTATTGGTGGCGGTGGAAACAGGAACCTACTGTAGTATCCCGACACGCCCACGATTCGATGCCATGATTCTGCATGTCTCAGCAAAAATGATTGGGCTTCAGGTCACAGAGCGTTCCGGGCATTGGGGGCATTGGGCAAATTGAATCTGCAGGACGGTAAAAACTCAGCAGCTAATTTAACCGCCCGCCTCGCCTCTTGAATTTTTGCCTCCGTCGTTGTTTGCTTTTTATTCTCTTATTCCTGAATGCTGAGTAGGTGTGAAACTTGCACCATCTGCTGCTTATCAGAAACTTGGCCTGCAAGAACCCTTGATTGCCATAGATACATTCTTCCAAGCTCTGTCGTCACTAAAATTGCAACTGCGGAGAATGAAAATGACGATTTCGCCCCAAAACGAGGACCTCGGGAAGGCGGCCAGATTGGGCTAGCCGGTGTTAAGGACTACTTAGTACTTTTACGGTATCAGTAACTTGACTATTTAGTATTTTTAATCTGTTGATGATCAAGTATTACGCCGTAGTTAAGACCTAGTAGCCCAGGTGTTCCCAGGTGTTCCCAGGTGTTCGATGATTACCTTCCATAGTTGGGTTTGCTACTTGCTTAACTTGGTTAAGTTAGTTAACTTAACTTATCTCGACTACTTGAGACTGACTAAGTAAACTTCCAACCAGAAAAGAAGGCACCGAGCCAAACTACTACCGACCTACCCTACTCGCCTGCCAACCACCTCCAACTCTACCTAGTCGCTCTCCCTCTCCCTCCAGGCGCTCCCTCTTCTCTCCTCCAACTCCACTCCAGCCCAGCCCGTCTCCTCTTCCTCTCCTCTAATTCCCTCCCTCCCTCAACCCACTCCTCCCCTTATCCTCATTTACTCTCCGTACAACAACCTCCTTGTCAGCAAAGCACGCCACAGCTTTTCCAACCTTACTCAACCTTACCCAAACCACTCCTTTTACACCTCCCATTACCTCTGTTCCTTTTTTCTCTTAAGTCGACCTTGCTTGGCACGGACATGTTCTAACGACTCTCTTTCCCAATCCTCTTGGGCACTCAAATGGTTTTGATGGGCGTGTATCGTGTTGGCAACCCTCTTTAACACCGACTTTACTTCGACAAGAGTCTAGCCGACTTTCTCGCGCACAAAACTACGATTCCTCGCCCCATTATAAAAAGATCTCGTTCACCGCACTAGCTTCGCAAACTTAACTGAGACTATCTTCGATGCCTTATACTTCTTCATACTCTCGACCTTGAGCTCGCCCCGACCACGCTGTCTTAGCGCGACAGATTCTCGGACCGTGCTCTATACTGAACCCCGTCTCTACAATAGCACCGGATTCTGGAAACACGCCATGGAGGATCTCGAAAATGGCCATGGTCTTGACCCTGGCTCTCCCAAAGCAGCTGTAGGACAATTCTCGTTTGCTCCTGCCACCCAAACCACGGTTGTGACGACGACCACCACTACGACCACCACTTTTCCACCCGTGCCTCTAAGGCCGCCTCACGCAATGCGGAATCTCGACCCAAAGCTATATCCTTTGGCATCATCTCCTACTCCCCCATCATTGAGAAACATCAAGTTCGAACTCGGTGGGAAACAGGTTATATTTCACGAGCCCGAAAACACGGCTGCCAAGTTGAAGGAGGTATGTTTGTTGATTTCGACTCTGTAACCACTGAATCAGCTCACTTGTTTTGGTTTGATAATCATATACTGATATAACACATGTAGCTGAACGAACAGGCGGTTGCTTTGAACGCTTCGAACGGTATGGTACGATCCGTGACCTCATTTACCTCAGATGATGCCCAACTGGCCCGGCGTTCTCAACCCCTGAACAATCTCTCCATATCGAAGCGTCGCGCGATCGAGAATAGTCACCCTATCACTCATGCGTCTTCCCAAAGAGTTCCGTCCGAGCCTTCAGTTCGTTCATTTCGTTCTCAGGCCTCCACGCAAGCACAAGCTATGACGGCTGGCCTCGCCACTCCAGACACGGAAAGCAATAACAGTGCGGGGGAGGGTGTCATTCCCAGACGGAGGGTCTACAGTCTGAGTAATCCTCGCAGAGAGACACTGCTACGATCCCCGTTGTCCTCGGAGATTGAGTCGCAAGGCACTCTTCCAGGAAACAATAGTTGGAGAGAATCGTCCCGCACCAAAACCGTAGTCTCAGACCGAAGCAGGCCGTTACCGCGGAGTGACACAGAATCAAGCCTCAATCGACCTCAGTTAGGGGCGTCCGCAAGTCAAGATTCTGGATATGGTGCTCCGGACGACGATTCTCAGCATATACCAAGCGAATCAGCGACACAGCGGGCATTTATCGATAATGTGGTGGCACAAGATATGTGCTTGCCTAGCCCAAGTCTGTCCCCGGTCGCTGCGATGAACGCTATGAACGTCGATTCCTCGTTCGACTCTGCCGAAGATCCAGAAGCCGACACGGACTCGAGTTATGACAATAATGACACCAAGGCGATAGGTTCTTTGCGGAATGTACAAGCGAAGGCAACATTCGTTGAGCAAGCTGGCGGCAGCTCCTCATCGTCTGTTACGCAGCGGTCTGCTTCGCTAATGGAGATTCCCGCAATCCTGGATTTTTTCGACGCGATTCCCGATCCGATGAAACCGTATGTTATGCATCAGCTGCTCAAGCGTTGTCCCAAGCCGACCTTGCAGTTTGTTGCAGACGTTGTCAATCCGGCCCTGAAGTGTGATTTTTTGTCTGCTCTTCCGACCGAGCTAAGTCTTAATATCGTCAAATATTTTGATGTTCAGACCATGTGTCGAGCCGCGCAGGTGTCCAAACGATGGCGACATATCATCAATTCTGACGAGAAGTCGTGGAAAGAGCTCTTTGATCGAGATGGCTTTAAACTTCCCGATGGAGAGCTGGAACGTGCAATCAGAGAAGGATGGGGCTGGCAGTTCCCGAGCGGCAGCGAGGACCATGAAAAAGACTTGGGTGCATTGCCATCCTTCCAGTCTGATGAGGAGTCTGGCCACAACAAGACTGCGGTATCTTTTACGGAGTCAAGTGACATGGCATTGTCTTTTAGTCGTCGACCAAAAAGGAAAGCCGTCACACGTGTCTCAAGCCGGAAATTAACAAAGAGGAAGATTTCTTCAAGTGGAACTGATCATTCAGAATCCGCAGATTGGAGAACAGAGGTGTCTAACTCGGAAGGACCTTACGCTGCCGCGAATGCCGCTGCTGCCGCTATCCCGTACCCAGAAATAGGCCTGCCAACCCTACGAGGACTTCATCTTTACAAATCGTTGTATCAGCGTCATTATGCCATCCACAAAGCTTGGATGAAACCGGATGTCAAACCAAGACATATTGCATTTGGGGCACACGGTAACCACGTGGTCACTTGCTTGCAGTTTGACACGGATAAGATTGTGACCGGAAGTGATGACACAAACATTAATGTATTCGACACAAATACTGGTGTTCTCAGAGCAACCCTGGAAGGACATGAGGGTGGCGTTTGGGCTCTCGAGTACTACGGCAATACTCTGGTCTCTGGGTCTACCGATCGATCGGTCAGAGTTTGGGACATAGAAAAAGCGAAGTGTACCCAGGTCTTCCACGGGCACACCTCAACTGTACGCTGCCTGCAAATTGTCCTACCAACAGAAGTGGGGAAAAAGGCGGATGGCTCTGCTGAGATGATGCCTAAAGAGCCACTCATTATCACAGGTTCTCGTGATTCCAATCTGCGAGTCTGGAAACTTCCGAAGCCTGACGACCCTGAGTATCACCCTAGTGGACCTCACTCGGACGACACCGATTGCCCGTACTTCGTTCGTGTTCTTACAGGCCATCAGCATTCGGTCCGAGCAATTGCAGCACATGGTGACACGTTAGTGAGCGGGAGTTATGACTTCACAGTGCGGGTATGGAAGACGTCAACGGGAGAAGTTGTCCACAGACTTACGGGTCACACGCAAAAGGTGTATAGCGTGGTCCTGGATCATAAGAGGAATCGCTGTATCAGTGGAGCCATGGACGTCATGATCAAAGTCTGGTCACTGGAGACAGGGTCTCTCTTGTTCAACCTGGAAGGTCATACCTCTCTCGTTGGACTGCTCGACTTGAAATATGAACGTCTGGTTTCAGCAGCTGCAGATTGTACTCTGCGGATCTGGGACCCGGAGACCGGTCAATGCAAGAACTTGCTGAGTGCCCATACAGGGGCGATCACATGCTTCCAGCATGACGAACAGAAGGTCATCTCCGGCTCCGATCGAACTTTGAAGATGTGGGATGTTCGCACTGGAGAGTGTGTTAGAGACCTTCTCACTGATCTGGGCGGAGTTTGGCAGGTCAAGTTCAATGATCGTCGCTGCGTTGCTGCAGTGCAACGTCGTGAAGTGACCTACATCGAAGTGAGTAATGTGTTTGCTATATATAAGAGTTGTTTGCTGACCAGTTCCAGGTTCTCGATTTTGGCGCTTCGCGTGACGGCGTGCCCAGTGAGCAGCTAGGCAGACGTATCCTTGTCAATCGCTGGGGTAACGAGGTCAGCGATACTGACGAAGAGTACGATATGTCGGATACTTAGATCCGACTCCGCTTCTTGCTGTCCGGCTTTGTTTTTCCCAGAGACGAGCGACCATTTTCAAGGGCAGTCAGTCGGCATCAAGGCAACGGCACGGCCACTTCATTCTTTTTCAACTTAACAGATCCAGCCATGAACTATTTACGATACCCCTCCATGGATTTTCTATCCCTATAATGAGACTTGCATAGCGTGGTTAGCATATTTTGATGTGCGGCATAATGATGGGTCGGCGTTGTGGCATTCCAAAAATCCTGTTGACCCTAGAGTCAATGTTATTTCCGTCTTGATTACGTGCATTTGCGCCATGTCTCGCATATTCTGTGTTCATATGCATCTAACATTATCTCGAGCCCCGGGCCTCCGAGGTTAAACATATTTTTGCACACATTGCGGCTGTTCCAATACTCACTTGCCATAGAAATCAATGAAGATGTCTTTGACTGGTCTGACTCGCCTTTGTAATACATATGTCCTGTCAACGATTACTTCTTATTTACATGTAATGGCCCAATGCGCTCGTCGAGCAAATTGACATCGTCAAGCGAGCTCCAACAAAGACCCTGGATCCTAGCATAGCCTGAGAGATTTGAGGGTCGCACGCGGACTCGCCCCCCAACACATGCGCATCAACCCGCAAGATGTGCTTGTCGATAACAGGGCCAAACCCTATGCCCTTGTCAAATGGGCACCAGTGGCATCGAACAGACTGCGGGGCGCATGGCTGTTGCTCCAAATGCGACAGAAAACATGGGACCTCGGAATATTGACGCCTCCCGCCCTGGGGGAGCGGAGCCAGCCACTTGCTGAACATTTACCCCCCCCCCCGTCTTCAATGGAACTCACTTCAGGGCACTTCAAAGCGTGTCTTGATTCCCTTCCGCTCTCTGTTGTATGAGTGGTACCGTAGTGGATTCAGTTTCTGGGGAACTCCGGAGAAGAGCCTCCCTTTCTGTTTCATCGTCGTTTGGGCGACACTTGAGATGCACGCTTGCTTGGCCCCGTGGTCACCTTCGTTATCGAAACTTTACCGGCCTTCTTCTTGGTGTTCTTCTTTTCTTCTTCACCCTCCCCCCCCTCTTTCTGTACCCGCATCGGCGCTGCAACCACCTTCTCTTGCTTAATCACATTCCCCTCCGCGTCCAGATTCGCATCATACCCGGCCGCCTTCAAGATGGCCCAGCGCAGCGCGGAGATGCCGATGTAATGGCCGGGCGTGCGCTCGACGTGCGCACAGGCGGTCAGGGTCTCCCCGAGGGGCGGGGGCCCGTTCCACTCCTGGGCGATCTCGGCGGCCGCCTCCCGGAACTCGCGGTGTAGGTCCCGGCACGCGGCGAGGCCAGGTTCCGAGACGCCGGAGCGGAGCTGATTGCGCTGCTTGACCAGGACCTTGTCGATCTTGGGGACGACGATCTGGTAGGGGAGGCCGTATTCGCTGAGCCAGCGGATGATGACGCGGTCCATGGGCTTCATGCCGTGGAAGCCGTCGATGAGGAGGAATATGCGGCGGAGTCTGTTTTTGCGTGGCGTGGGTGGGTTTGTTAGTTATAGAAAATGTTGTTGTTGGGGGGGGGTTGGGATGAACGTACTGCTTTCTCTTCTGTAGATACTTCATGATCTCTTTGCCCCAATCATACCGACCGCCATAACCGTAGCCCGGCATATCCAGCAGCACGATCTTCGACTCGCCGCCTTTGGTGCCGCCGATGCCGAAGGCGTTCATCTCCCGCGTCCGGCCGGGTTTCTTCGAAGTGTAGCAGAGTTCGCCCGTCATGAGGGCGTTCAGGAGCGAGCTCTTGCCGACGTTGGAGCGGCCGAGGAAGCAGACCTCGGGCTCGTGGGCGGACATGGGCGTCGTGCGGAACTTGCTGGCGGACCAGAGCTTGACCGGGGAGTGGCGCGAGGGGGCGAAGAACTTGTCGGCGTAGGCGAGCTGGGCGTCATTGGGGCACTCGGTCTCATAGTAATCATTGAGGACGGTTGCTGGGAGGTCGGAGAGAAGCTTCTTCGGGGTTGGGTGTGCTGCGAGGTCGGAGGGAAGCGTCTGCGGTGAGGTAGGATGTTGAGGTTCTTGAGGCTTTGGCGGCTCTGCAGGGCAGAAGAAGTCTTCTTCTAACGGGGGCTCGGCAGGCGAGGAGTTCCTCGCTGTTACTGCTGAGGAGAAATATCGATGGACTTGTGCCTGTAACGGCCGAATCGAAGATCTGAGAGTATACAGTTGGATAACCATGGTGGAAAGTTGGTGTTTCCTCAACACAGAACAAGGTTGCTTAACTTGTAAATTTGGAGACAAGCTTTCCTCCGCGGCGCACGGAATCAGAAAATCTGCCGGGCGGTGACATTCTAAGACGGTCCGCTTGACTCCACCGCCTAATCGATAAGAAGATGCGTCACAGCAGAGGGGAAAACGGAGAGCTTCGGAGATACGTCCAGACTGACTCGGACTACTGCAGGTACTTCTTCTGAGCTTGTTTTACTTGGAGCATTTCAGTCACCCGCGCTCAGTCTTTGTCTCACTCGTTCATTGACAACATACTGTACCTACACCCTAAGAGGCAAACAACCGCCTGACCGCCAAGATGATCAACGCCGTCCTCGTGTTCAACAACAACGGTCAACCCCGTCTGACCAAGTTCTATACTCAAATTGTGAGACGTTCTCCCCTTACCTATTGCTCACCCACCTTATATTTCCCCCCATCCAGCCTTGTCATTGCTAATCTCTCTCGCGCACACACGCACCAGGACACCCAAACCAAACAAACCCTCATCACCCAGATCTACAACCTCGTCGCCCAGCGGCCCCCAAGCGCCTGCAACTTCCTGCCCCTCCCGCCGCTGCTCTCGCGCGGGGCCAGCGCCAGCGCCGCCAACGGGCCCTCGGACGCGCCCACCCAGATCACCTACCGCACCTACGCCACCCTCTCCTTCATCATGATCTCGACGTCGACCGAGTCGCCCCTGGCGCTGATCGATCTGATCCAGGTCTTCGTCGAGGCCCTGGACCGCATGTTCGAGAACGTCTGCGAGCTGGATCTCATCTTCGGGTACGAGACCATGCACGCGGTGCTGGGCGAGATGATCGTCGGCGGCGTGGTCGTCGAGACCAACATTGAGAAGATCGTGGCCGGCGTCAAGAGCCAGGAGGGTCAGCTGGGGAAGAAGCGGGCGATTCAGGCCGCCAGTTCGGGGCTCGGGAGGGGTGGGTTGCCTGGGCTTGGTGGGTGGAGGTAAACTCTTGTTGCTCGGGACGGTGGTAGACGGTTGGGAAAGGGGGGGGGAAGAAGGGCTATGCATAAAGCGATATCTGATACCACAGTTGGGATGAGATGTGATTCTCATTTGTAATGATCTTCTTCTGCTGTATACGGTTGTGTTATTTTGTATGCGCATAAAGGGCTGTTCTGTTGTTGGCGTTGGGGTTAAAGTGATTAGACTAGACTTGGTTTTGATTTTGGGAGAGAGAAATTTAGTGACTCGGCAGACAATCTACAATGGAGTTACTGTAGTTAGTGTAGCTACTGTATTAATAGCCACTGCAATTGAGACTATTCGTAGGGAGCGCGACTCAGGCTGGAGCGTGGTACAGTAAAGTACACCGCCTGCGATTCTGCCAGGGGGTTGAGCCCTACGTCACGTGATATGCCAGTGTCTGGAACGCCGGCAAGGCAGTTGTTCCGAAGGCGGCCCACAGAAGCGGCGGGCGGCCTTTTCTCCCGCGAAAATCAAATTACTTCCCTTCGTTTCTTCTTCTCTTCTCTTGATCGTCAATCCCGTCACTCAACGCCGCTGCGGATCTCAGTCGACAAAAATGGTGGTAAGCATTTGAGATTTCTACATCCCAATGAAGCAACGAAACTCCTCGATCCTCTAGAGAGAGAGAGAGAGAACACACCCTTGTCATCGACAAACAATTGCCGACGACAGACATGTTGTGTGAAAGATCACAACTGTAGGAAATCGGTAGCTTGCATCTCGCGCATCACAGCCGAGATGGCAATGTTTTCCGCTGCATTCCGTGGATCTCGGGAACCCTTCATTGGGCCCTCTCTAGTGAAATGGGATCAGTGATGATTTGGCTGGAGTCGCAAAGATGTAGTCGGATTCTTTTGGTTCCTTTTCGGTGTGTGATATGAGCTTGAGATATAGTTTGTACGCACAGGACCAGGAACTAAATAAAGATTCGGCTTCATCTTTGCGATCTCTCTAGAGTTTAAAGAAGAGTTTCAGCACAAGAAAAAAACACAAGATGGTGGAGCACACGATGCTGATTTCTTCTTTTTTCTCAATGATAGCCCCCTAAGTCCGGAAAGAAGGTTGCCTCCCTCCCTTACCCCCAGGGTAAGGCTGGTTCCAAGAAGGCCGCTAAGGTGAGCACACATCCTTGAGATCTTAGGCTTCTCAAGGTCTAGATCTTTCACAATTACCCACTGGCAATGGGGAAATGCTAACGAATCTCCTTCAGAACCCTCTCATCGAGAAGCGTTCCCGCAACTTCGGCATTGGCCAGGACATCCAGCCCAAGCGCAACCTGAGCCGCTTCGTCAAGTGGCCCGAGTATGTCCGTCTCCAGCGCCAGAAGAAGATCTTGAACCTCCGCCTCAAGGTCCCCCCTTCCATCGCCCAGTTCCAGAGCACCCTGGACCGCAACACCGCCGCCCAGACCTTCAAGCTCCTTAACAAGTACCGCCCCGAGACCAAGGCCGAGAAGAAGGAGCGTCTCCACGTCGAGGCCACCGCCGTCGCTGAGGGCAAGAAGAAGGAGGACGTCTCCAAGAAGCCCTACAACGTCAAGTACGGTCTCAACCACGTTGTCGGTCTCGTCGAGAACAAGAAGGCTTCCCTCGTCCTCATCGCCCACGATGTTGACCCCATCGAGCTGGTCGTCTTCTTGCCCGCCCTCTGCCGCAAGATGGGTGTCCCTTACGCCATCGTCAAGGGCAAGGCCCGTCTCGGTACCGTCGTCCACAAGAAGGTATGTTCTCCACGGTTCCATCCATACACATCCTCGAGCAATTCATCCTAACACATAATGCCTCTAGACCGCTGCCGTCCTCGCTCTCACCGAGGTCCGCTCCGAGGACAACACCGAGTTCTCCAAGCTCCTTTCCGCCATCAAGGAGGGTTACACCGACAAGTACGAGGAGTCCCGCCGCCACTGGGGTGGTGGTATCATGGGCGCCAAGGCTGTCGCCCGCCAGGAGAAGAAGCGCAAGGCCGTTGAGGGTGCCATCCGTGTCTAAGCTAGTCTCGTGTCACTAGATCCCAGATACCAAAAAAGCTTAGTTATGTGAACCGAAAAAATTTCACTGCACTGACGGGTTACCAAAAAATCTCTTTATACCCAACGAAACCTTTGTCAATGACGCGATCTTCCACCTTTCCTCCTCCATGTACAACCTTGCAGATACCCCCTCATGAATGCTAATTTCCAATGACTTCTCAACTTCTTTCTCTCCTGCACCTTCCTCGTAGCAGTATACTCCGTTTTTTCATCCAAAGTCGAGAAAAGAAAAAGGAAGCAAGCATTCATGTGGTGAGAGGTCTGTGCCTCGTAAAGCGTAGTTCAGAGTTGCAGAACAGAATATGCACCGAAGGAATGACTACGCTACACTCAATCCTTCAGTGGCTAGTCCGTACTCTGCAAATGTAGCGCGGCGGCTGTATTAACCTCTGGCACCCAATCTGCCGTATCAGCCTCAGGCACTAGTCCTCGACACCTGCACAATTAGGCTCCGAACAATCACATCCTCACGAAAATGCAGTCAATGCTAGTTCCTAGTCCACACCACCCGAGTAGTAATAAATACACCCCATGAGATCAAACGCATGGTACAAGAAAGCATCTATACAGAGAATAGCAACGTGTGGTATGCTGGCGTGTGGTATGGTATGACAAAAGCTAAAAACCCCCCGCCAAATAATCAAGGAAAAGAGTAAGAAACGAATTGATACGGCCAGCAATATACCCCTTGTCTTCCAATCATCCGAAATGCTCCAGTCATCGAAAGCAATGACAGGTCCCGCGCCATTAACGAGGCCAAGAGACTAACTACCAAAGGGAGTCGGTAGAAGTAAGAGGAGGGAAAATGAAAAGTGAAAATAGGATAGACAAAGAAGAAGAGGAAAAGATCCTTGGAAGCTCCGTGCACTTGCTGCGTGCAAACGGAGGTTGATATCAGTCGAAGCAAGAAGAATATAATATGTGATGGAGGGGAATCGAATAAAAGTCGGTTGTTGGTCATTCGGTCATTAGCGCTGAGCAGGTGGTCGTGTAAGGCCTTGCCTTGCCTATATGTGGTATACATTGTTAGTACCGGATGGTGTGCCGAATGGGCTAGGAGTATGCTCACCTTCATCTGTTCGATTCTAGCTTTGAGTTGACTTGTCACTTCCGCAGCTCTTTTCCAGTTCTCCGCTGGTTCCGTGGACCTGGCAGGCTGGTCCTCGCCCGAAGCACTGCCAGAACCCCGTACAGATGAGCGTGTGGGGCTGCCTAAGCCAGAGTAGCCGGTGCTGAACGTAGGGCTGAGCTTCCGTCGACCGAGGGCTCCTTCTCTGGTACTCAGCGATGGAGAGTCCAGGCCGTTGTTCTCTTTCTCTTCGCTGGGGCTAGTGGAAGCATAGCTACGCGGCCGGGAGGTATCAAATCGTGATCCTATGTGGAGTCCAGCTCGGGACATCGGATTGTACCCATTGTGGCCCGAGTCTTGATAGACCAACGATGGCTCCGAGATACTGATATTGTTGTCGGGGAGGGCATTTGGTGGGCTAAGGGCACTGGCGCGCAGCGCTCTAGCTAGCTCGCGCTTCAAGCGTTCGATTTCGCGTTGCTGCTTCTGGACCGTCTGTTCTGCTGCCTCCGCGTCACTGCGTGCTCGTACCAATTGGGTCTCTTTAGCTTTGATGCTCAGAACATCCCTAGTGTGGTCTTCGATGAGCTGGGCGTTTTGGTTCTGAAGTTCTGTGATCTGGGAGTTCAGCTTAGTCCGGTCATATTTCAAGTCATCGATAGTGCGGGTGAATCGCTCTTTCTCCAGGCGTAACTCTTCCAGTTCCGCACGTTCAGCGGCAGACATGCCACTCATTTGCGGTGCGACTGGGACTGGGGCTGGCTCAGCCGGAGCCGCTGGCCGGGCGATTGGGCGACCAGCAAGACCCCTTCCGAGACCAAGTCGAGGCGCGGCAGGTGGCGGCGGCTGATCCTCTGAAGGGGGTGATATTACACGCCTTTGGGGTGATGCCAAGCCAGCCTGACCAGCAAGCCTCTTCTTGAGGCCACTAGGGGCAGGAACGCTGCCGGGCTTTGCAAGGCCACCCAACTTAGATGGGATTGCTCTCGTGGCGGGCTTAGATGGGGACGGTGCTGGAGCTGGCTCCTCAACAGGAGCTGGTGCAGCTGCAAGCCTCTTCGTTCCGAGTGCTGGCTTCTTGCCACCGAGGACCTTCTTACCAACTGCAGAAGTAGTCTTTGGCGGGCCAACGATAGGCTTGGGTCTGTCCTTCGCCTTGACCTCCGCCGTCTCGTAGAACTCCTTGATCTTCGTTTTCCGGATATCATCGAGACCATCAAGATAAGGATTCATTGCCCGCTCTCCCAGGATTTTCATCAAAGTACCCAGAACCTCTGCGCCTCCAGCACGGTTGACCTCGCTAGACTCAGTTAGAAGCTTGGTAGCCGCCTCTGCAATCGACTTGATCTCTGGTTTAGCTGGCACGTCCCTGGTGGTACGAAGACAGCGGATCAGGAACTTGAGGGTTTCTTGCTTGACTTGAGGGTTCTTGTGTTTGAGGAATTCCAGAATCTCTTCCAGGCATTCCGTCAAACTGGTTGCGACGAAGACCGAGTCGAGTGCTTGGCCTAGGGCATCTGCAACGCTTTGTTTCTTCTCTTTCAGGCGTTCCAACATCGGTGCCATGATAGTGGGTCGATACTTCAGGAACCCGCTGCGCAGGCCTTTGGCAAGTAGGTCAACACAGTTAGCGGCAACAGTCACGACTGCAACATTGGCATCTTTCATGGACTTGGCCAATAACCGTACCACCTCATCAAATGACCCATCCTTGATTCTGGGTACGTTTAGTACAGTGTAGAGTTCATCCAGAGCCTCCTTCCTGTCCTTCCACTTCGACGAAGAAAGCTGCTCTGTGAAGTTGCCGGGTACCTTGGACGCCACATCCACAGGTTCTGCAAGATCGAAAACGTCGACTTCGCCCTCATCCTCTGCATATTCCTCGATTCCTTCCATCTCGTCATCGCCACCTGCTGCAGGAGCAGCACTGGCGACAGCCGCAGCATCCTGCTGCGCTTTGGTGAGCCTCTCCTGCTTTGGTGGCGGTTCCTGTTTCACGGCTTCGAATAACTTCTCCAAGTCAGTCTGTTGAACAGGCTTTAGCTCGCCCCAGAAAAGGGGCTTGATGGCTTCTTTCAGCCACCTATAGAGCTCCACGGTAAGGTTTTGAGCTTCCGCCCGAACATTTTTGTCTGCGTGCCCGAAGACCTTGGGCAAAGCTTTAAGTACCGGCTTAGGATCCACAAGCTTACACCCGAAGTTGTGATAGATCGTCTTCAACCCCGCCAGCGCGGCTGCAATCACCTTGGGCATCTTATGTGACAATGCGGGCATCATCTCCTCGATCACCGGATCCGCCTTATCCATCTCCACACACAGAAGCAGGGCCTCGATCGCATTCGCCTTGGCGGCTGGTCGTGTAGATATGAGACCCTTTTCACAGATCGGTAGAATTGTAGTTGCGCGCGTTCTAGAGAGATAGACCGTCCTGTTAGTCTTGTGCTCCCAGATCAACCTCCCCTCCATCTCTCTGTTTCTCCACCCCGGAGCTCCACGAGTTGAAAAAAATTCCCCTTCCCCAACGCAAAGAAAAGAATAACTGGGAAACAGATAGATAGCTCACCTTGTACAAGCCTGTACTCCACCAAACTTTAAAAACGCACAATAGGCCCCAAGACCTTCTTGTTGAGCCGCCACATTGGAATCTGCCACCGCCCCTTTCCAGAGACCGGGGTCTTGTATGAAGGGAGTGAATACTGGATCCGACTCGTCTGGCGTCTTTTCAAATTGTTGTTTGGCATCTTCGTATCCTTCCTTGCGAACCTTCCAGTTCTATAATTCGGGGAGGGGCTCGTAATCAGTATTATTTTTTCGCCAAATGGTCGCCCGTCGAGCCTAGAACGAAACGAGGAGGTTTGCGGTGGAAGGGGGGATGATAATCCAGGGAAAAGGCTAGACTCACCTTGTGCGCGAACCGGTCGGGCAATGGTAAGGAGGAGAAGTCCTCTTCTCCCTCAGCCATTCTAATGGGTTAATTAGGGAAAGTTTCCACTAGATGGCGAGAAAGAGATAGAGCGACAAGATTAGCGATTGCGCTCTGCAGGGAATAGACTGGATAGCAGCGAGCTGCGCTTGCTGAAGCTCGATCCTCAAGGTGACAGGTCCAAGCGCGTTGCAAAAGTCCTGAACCTCGAGGGAGGAACAGCATCGAATGATTCCCCATCTAGCCCTCCCAGGGCTGAAGACGTACCTGGAAAATCGCAGATGGTTGCAGATCTCGTGCACGGGCGAATAACCGGGATTGCAGACAGGGCGTGGTTCCGGAACTCACGACCAGCACACTGAGTTTAATGGTCTAAGAGATGGAGTGGCTCCGGTGACTGGAAAACGAGGTAGTTCTGGATTGTAGGAGGTAGAAGGGCTCGAAGGCGGAGGATGTCGAGGAAGTGTGGCGATTAATACAATGAGAGAGAGAGAGAGAGGGAAGGAGTTGGAGGGAAAGTAAACAACGGCAAAGTCACTGGGGTGACTTCGCGACCCAAAGACGGGGCTTGGCAGCCGTAATTTTGCTGCCCGCACCGCGCAGACCGGGGGGTACAACAGAAGGCCGTTTGTTATCAGGTGCCAATCTTCGTTTACATGATGAAAAGTGTAGAGTCAAAGGTTGACCTAGCTTGACATAGCAGTTTGATCTAATTTTGTATTTGCTAATATAAAGCTATTATCTAATATAATCAATGCAGAGGGTGGGCCAGCGCAAGAAGTATGTACTATGCAATTGCACCTACGGTAGATGCCGGCTCGGCTCCTATAGCATGAGACGGAGGAGCCTCGCGTATGCCTTCACTCTACTTCACACTTTGCCCCAGAGTCTGGTTAACTTCACTAGACTGGCTAGACAAGCTCGAACTGAAATTCCACAATATGCCGCATGAATAGCTATAATATACACAAGGTTTACATACAAACCATACACAGTCAAGGAGAAGAAGTGAATCAGAAAAAAAACTCCTAGTAAGCGCACTCTCACTCCCCTTTCTCCCTCAAATCCCCCACCTTAGTTCTTTGTAGTCTCAGCAGCAGGCGCATCCTTAGCAGGCGTATCCTTAGCAGCAGCCTCCGCCTCCGCCTTAGCAGCCTCCTCAGCCTTCTTCGCCGCATTCTCCGCTCTCTTGAACCCGATCTGTGGCACGAACGAATCCTGTCGCTCCTGGATCAACCTCCGAATGCGCCCGACGTGCTCCGGGGAAGGACCGCCCTTCAAGTTGCCGCCCGCCTCCTGAATGCGGGCCTCCCTGCGCTGCCACTTGGCCGTCCGCTTCTCCGCGCGCGCGGCGTCTCGCTCCGCCCGCGTCATCACGGCCGGGCGGTTCTCGATGGCATCTGCGAAGGGAGCGATGATCCGCTCCACGACGTGGTGCACGTTGCGGCTCTTGGGGTACCCGGACGAGAACTCGATCACGTCGCCGACACGCAGCGACTCGCGGGGGTCCGAGACCATGATGAACTCCTTTTTGCGGTAGTACTTGCGGAGATGAGCGTCCCACTCGACGTTCCAGTGCAGGACGCGGGCAGTGCGCATCATGCGGCCGGCGGATATGACGGTGCCCTTTTTCAATTTGTAGGCGTACTGGCGGAGCGAGGGAGGGACCTCGGTCTGGGCACTCGAGGAAGGAGCATCGGCGGTCGGGGCGGCTGTCTCCACGGGTGGTTGCTCCTGCAGCTGCTGCTCTGTTTGTTGCTCGAGGAACTTGGGGGATGTCGTGGCGATTGATCGTTGGAGGAACGTAGGTCTGGAGAGGTATTGGGTGGCTGAGGCGGGGGTGCGGAGGATAGAAGTTCGCAGGGGCTGGAAGGCCCGGAGCACACTGCTGAAGGCCATTGCGAAGCCTGTGTGGTGTAGAAAGGAATACGACCGAAGGAGTAGCGTAGAGTCGTTATTCAGTCACGACCGACTCGATCTGTTAGACAAGACCGCTCGTAGGGATGCGATCGTGTGAGGCTTGATCGTCAGACAGATCCCTATTGGTGATAATTTTCTTCAATGATAAAGACCGGTATACTGTGATCGCAGAGCAGAACCCGGAAAGTAAAGAGTGCTGGGGTAATGTTGAATCGACAGGCACGGCTAGATTTCAGATCGGAGCAGCATCGCGGCCGCGGGCGAGTTGGCCGAGAATTTCTGCAATCACGGTCATGTTTGCACTTTTTGCACCCACTCATACCTTTACTCCGCATCGGTCCAACGCTCAGCTGCTCGTGCGGTTTTGTCCTGTACATCATTTGCGTTGACAAAGAACGTCTGATTATACTTCATAATGTTGCAATTCACTTACAACCATTCGAAGTGATAAGTGGGATATAATCAGTCGAGATTATTCTAAACCATGCTCCTGTACATACACAACACACCAACACCTCGAGAATCAATCCCAACAAAACCATGAAACCTGTGGCCTAAACGCAACAATGACTCTTTTGATGTACTCCATACGGTAGAAGATAGATGACTCGACCAGGAAATGGATAAGCACGCCATATCGAAAGCAAGAATAAAAATAAACACCACAATACGCAATCTGCTCCCCAGCCCAACGCTTTCTGCAAGCCGAGCAAAGGGTCTATCAGCACTTTAAGTCCATGCCTATGCTTCTTATGGAGCCTTGACACCGTTCGTGTGCTCCGAATGGTGAGAGGGACCTGGAATTATAGAAGCCTTCCTGGCTTGGAACTTTTCTGCCGATTGAGTCGATATCCGAGTCAGCTCAGAAACAAATGACTGGCCCCAGAATGCGCTATAGTATATTAGTTAGAATCCTGGTATAGCACTGTCAAGCTTCGCCATACCTTGTATACTTGTTGACATATTTGTCCAGCTTGGAGAAGTTCAGGGCCCTCTGCTCATCGCTCATTGTGACAGCCTCCTGATAAGCCGCTGCAAGCTCTTCGGTGTTCCAGGGATTGATAATGATACTGCCATTCAAGCTTTGCGCCGCACCCGCAAACTCCGAGAGAACCAAGCTGCCATGGCGTTTCTTTTGGGTGGCGATGTATTCGTAGGCAACGAGGTTCATGCCATCACGTGTGGATGAGACAATGCAGGCATCGGATACGGCGTAAAGAGCGATCAGCTCGTCGAAATTAACTGACTTGTGTAGGAAGTGAATCGGCATGAACTCAACAGTGCCTGTCCTTCCGTTAGCAAGGCCTCGAGAAGTCACTCTGGGGGTACCCACCGAATTTACCGTTGATGCGGCCCACGAGTTCGTTGACCACAGCCCTTAGGTTTTGGTACTCTTCCACGTCTTGTCTGCTGGGGACCGCTACCTGAACCAATACAACCTTTCCGACCCACTCAGGATGATCACTGAGGAAGACCTCAAGCGCGTGTAGCTTTTGAGGGACGCCCTTAATATAGTCAAGACGGTCGACGCCCACCATGAGCTTCACACCCTGGAATTTCTGCTCTAGCATTGCAATGCGTTTCTGAACTTTCTCCTTTTTGAGGCCCTCCTCAAACTTCTCGGGATCGATGCCGATTGGGAAGGCGCCACAGGCAATCAACTTGCCCTGGAACTCGATTCCATTTGGAGTAGTAGGCAACCCTCTAAGCTAGGGTTAGCGACTCTGGGTCATGTGTAAGAAGGCAGTCATCCAATACATACAGCAAACGCGAGCAGGCGCTCAGAAAGTGTCTGGTATAATCGTAGGTGTGAAAGCCGATCAAGTCACAGTGAAGGACGCCGAGCAGCAACTCATTCCGCACAGGCAAAATTCTATAGATTTCGCTGCTAGGAAAGGGCGTGTGAAGGAAGAACCCGATCTTAACGTTCTCTTTGCTGTTGCCAATTTCCTCGCGAAGCATCTCCGGGAGCAGCATCAGATGATAGTCATGGACCCAAATTAAATCACCGTCTTGAACTTCTTTCGCGACGGCCTTGGCGAAGAGGCGGTTGGCTTCCTTGTATGCCTCCCAGGCAGATTCATCGAAGGTGATCTCACCAGGGTGATAATGGAAAAGAGGCCAGAGAATCGAGTCTAGAGAAGCAGACAAGAGGTCAGCGAATATGGTCACGAAGTCGGCATTCTAGTACATCGCGCCGACTATGCGATTCAATTGGCGAGGGGATGAACTGACTGGAGAACCCGTTGTAGTGACGGTCCGCAAGCTCGTCATCGATGAAGACCGGAACAGCCCCGTACTCTTCCTTCAAACGTTGTTTTACCTCGGGAATTTCCTCCTCTGGGACTTCCAAGCCGGGCCAGCCGTACCATTGGAACGTCGTGGACTTCGAGAGACCGCTGAGTCCACTGACCAGTCCTCCAGAAGACATGGAGAAGTCATATCTGCCATCCTCAGATCGCTTGATGGTGATAGGGAGGCGGTTGGAGACTAATAACAGCCTGGCCTCGTTCGGGACGGGGTTATCGAGAGAAGGCATGATGTCGGTGATGCAGGCGATTGCGCAAAACTAGATGGCGAAAGATGCGCGGTCGACCCACTGACCAATGATGCAGATTGACACAAATAGAGGAGACGTATCCGAGCTCTGATCAGGTTTTCGATAAAGTGAGGATAAGAATGTAAGAAGATGCTGTGAAGGTTCTCACGATTTGATTGATAGTACTTTAGGTAAAAGATCAGAAGCGGGCAGAAAGAGAGGGGTAGGGCAGGAAATCAGTCTGGGCCAGTCCTGAAGATTCAGCGGAAGTTATAAAGGAATTGGCGCGACTCCGGAGGGGAAGCGGAACGGCAATAGGAGGAGGTAAAATGAAGAAGAGAAGGGAAAGCACCAGAGGAGAGGAGAGGAGAAAATTGGCGAGATTGGGGACCTTCAACGGTTCAACGGGCCAAGAGAAGTTTCACGTAAGTAAAGGTAGTATTAGTTGGCAGACGTAGGTTAGAAAAGTAGGTAAGAGTCGGGGTAGGGTAGAGTAGGTCTGGCGGCGGGGAATAATGGCCGAAGTGACCTCACCGCAGCGGGCAGCGCGCGGACCAACCGACCCAGGCTTGGGCTCGGGCAAGAAGATCAAAAGAACCCAGCAACTTCCTCACTAGCAAGTTCATCGACTGAGCCAGTGGTGGGGCGGTGGAAAACAGAGGCACATCCAACAACAGCAGTATCTCTCGGTTAATTTGTGGTGGTGCTGTCTGGACGTACGAGTATGAAACTCACTCTTCGACGAGTTGTTGCGATAGGAGTTATCGCTCGAAGGAGAGATGAGAAAAACGGGCGGAAGAAGAAGAAGTAGTAGAAGGAGAGATGGGATGATGGGATGATGGGATGGTGGGGGGGGGGGGGAGAAGTGGGGGGGAAGAAGCAGGTGGGGTGGGGAAAGAACTCCTCCTACTAAGTACTACTACCACTACAACGACCGACAGGCTGCTTAACTACTCATACTCATACTGCTCGACTACTAAGTTACGAGAACAAAGTTACAAAGTTCACTTACTCACTGGCTGCTGAGTATTATTTGCTGAGGAGTAAGTTTAAGATGTACGACAGAGGAGGACTCGTACTTCATCCATGATACAAAACGAACAAACGATGAAGTCACAAGCCAGATTGAACCATTTCTCGGCGCGGGATCCCTGCCAACGACTCATCGTCCCCCACTGATACTTCCCACGCTCCCGGGAATATCAAGGGACCACAAACATCTTAATCTCGAGGAATGTGTCTGCGTTCTGCTCTCATCCTGTCAGGGGACTGTCATTATTACTGCCTCTCTTTTTCAAGGATACCTCACTCTTCCTCCCCTTCTTGGCTCCTCTATCGGAAACCACTCCCTAGGCTGCTTCGCCCCGCCCAGATGCGGACATGATGACGGTTAGACGGCGTAATCGCACAACCAACCATATCTTGTACTGTACCCGCCACTCAACTGCTACAGTGAGTGCTTTCTCATTGCGACGAAGCTATGGAGCCAAGTATGGCTATTATTCGAATCAGACCAGTCATGGATTCAATGGACCAAAATTGTCGCATCAGCCTACAGCACCTCAAAAAAAAAAAACGAAAAAGAAAAAAAGGCATGAACACGAAGCAGACGTCAGCGCAATGCAGACCATACCTCCAGGCTCGTTCGGATGCCCGAATTCGTCCCAAAGAAGGTCCCAGCAGTGGATGGGTCTAGCCCTTCCGTCTATCCTGGCCCTTCCAAAAAATCGAAGAGGACTAACTTTCCTTTCATACTAATATTGGTTCCTAGAATTCCCGAAACAAAACTACATATACCTCGTATCTCTATGATTCTGCTCCCGGCATTCCCACAGTCACTGAAAAGATAAAATCAAAGAAGACAAAAAGCAAAGAAAGTACAACGAATCCCAATCCTTCTCACAAGAGTCAAAGCGGGGATTTGCCACGCTCCAGGCTCCATTCATCCAGATCCCTGTCATGAACCACTCGACCCTCGTCCTCTAACTTCTGTAGCACAAGCTGTACGCCATGGCAGGCCGGTAAATGCAGGTTCTCCGGGACGTCTTTGTAAATCACTTTCACCAGCTCCATGGCGGTCCAGAAGGTTTTCGGGTGGATAGGCGGTTCCCCATCAGCGACCTCAAGCTGGCCGTGTCGTAGGACCCGGATCACTTCATCCTCCCTCTGCTGTCGATGCTTGATATACTCGGAGATCTTGGACGTCGCATGGTCAATCACCGCCCCATGACCGGGGTACCCGCGGCCAGCAACCCGATGCTGCATCCTCTGTAGGCTACCCATGTACTCGCCCAGGTCTTCGAAAACACTGGTCCCATGTCCCAGTACATCTGGCATCAGTAAGAAGGGGGAATGCAGGAATCAACTTTATACACATTGGAGTAAAAGCCCACTTACTGTCGCCCGTGAACACTGCATCCTCTTCCTCCAAGACAAACATCATGTGGTCGACGGTATGGCCCGGCGTGTGGTACGCACGCAGGGTTGCGCCCTCCACGCTGAACACCTGGCCGTCCTCGATACTGCTTTGACCAGGACCCGGTTGATGCTTATAGATCGTCACATTGGGGCAAAGCTCTAGAAGATCCGGGATACCTTTGACATGATCATGGTGCCAGTGAGTGAGTAGGGCCTGGTGCACAGTGGCATTTTCTTGAGCAAGTACGGCTTTGAGGTGAGATGCCCACGATGGCCTGCCCTCGCCCGTGTCGATCAAAATGCGTTGGTGACCTCGACCGATGAGATATGTATTCGTTCCTAACGGGGCATGATTTAGAGAGGTCTACAGTTTTTCAATGATCCGCTTGCATATGAGTTGAGAAGCACCCACCTTGAAGTGTAAACTAAGCAGCATCAGCATCCACTGGGTTAGAAAAAGGCACAGCATGCTGCAGGTGTACCGGACTACAGAAGTGGTATGGGACGAACCTTGCCCGGATTGCCGCCCAGTATTCTCAGCACCGATGAACTTAACCGTTCCACCTCCGACAGGGTAATGAGTTGGGTGGCCATGATGTATGCACTTCAGGGCCAACGAGTCCTGTGATTACCTGGCTTGCGACGGTATGAACTCTTCGACAGACGATCAGCAGTCCGACGAAAGCGAGGGGAATCTGCTTACGAAAGCAAAGTCGCTGGTACTCACTCTGGAAGACGTGATCTCCGCGCCTTATGGTGGAACTAGTTCTGCAGGTATGCCCTAGAGTCTAACGATTGACAGATCGTCGCCCGCAAGCGCGGAGCAAATGGACTTGGGGGAATCTTCTGAGGATAGCGGAGATATGCACGTCACGTGCGAGAGTGAGTGGCACTTTCTGATCGTCGATAGACTCGACACAATGCCCGACTATGACCAAAATGAGGTAAATCAAACGGATGGGGCAGGGTTGATCATTAGATGTACACGGCTTCCTACTCAACGGCTACCTACCGAAGTGGGGTGTGCTGTGCTGGCCTCGGCCTCGTCGGCATCACATTCTCCTCTTATACCAAGCAGCATATTCAGAGAACGCGTCAATGGCACGCGAGCGTAGGTCGCCGGGGCTGAACTACGAGTAAAGGGCGACCAAGGGAGTCGAGTTACGAAGATGCACAGTTGGAACAGAAGGAAAAATGGTATGCACGCAGTCCCTAACATACAGTGTATGATATAAAACAAAACAAAAAGAGTATATCCATGTAGTCCACCCTAAAATCTGAAGGGTACAAATGAAACCAGGCCCTGATGGCAGAAACAATTCGTTAGATTTTTCGGATCACCACTCCGCATCTTCCAGCCAGCAGCCGCTTCCCCGCTGCTCGGCAATATCCACTGAGACCTTAAACCAGTCCCTTGGAGGTATCATCATGTTTCATCTCAGCGGACAGAAACCATATTTGTAGTTTACAAATGAGCTGGTCGCTCATCGTGGCCTTAAGCCCACTCTTGTCGAGTTGATTTGATGACTAGCAGTTTAAGCCTTGCCAGCCTTGCGGGCCATGGTGTTCAGAGCAGAACCATCCTTGAACCACTCGATCTGGGACTCGTTGAAGGTGTGGCTGAGCTTGACATCGAAGGAAGCGCCATCCTTGGGGTGGACGCGGAGAGTCATGGGCTTGCCAACCTCGATCTCAGTGCAGAGGAGGTCAACCTTGTCATCGGGCTTGATCTTGTCGTAGTCGGCGGGGTCGGAGAAGGTCAAGGGGAGCATACCCTGCTTCTTGAGGTTGGTCTCGTGGATACGGGCGAAGGAGCGGGTGATGATGGCAAGACCACCAAGGTGGCGGGGCTCCAGAGCGGCGTGCTCACGGGAGGAACCCTCACCGTAGTTCCAGTCACCAATAACGACCCACTTGACACCACGGGCCTTGTAGTCACGGGCAGTGGCGGGAACGGCATCGTATTCACCAGTGAAGGCGTTCTTGATCTTGTTGGCCTCACCGTTCTCGGCGTTGATGGCACCAATCAACATGTTGTTGGAGATGTTGTCAAGGTGTCCACGGTACTTCAACCATGGGCCAGCCATGGAGATGTGGTCGGTGGTGGTCTTACCCTGGCACTTGATCAGGATAGGGATGCCGGTGGCATCCTTGCCATCCCACTTCTCGAAGCCAGCAAGGAGCTGGAGACGGTCACTCTCGGGGGAGACAGCGACGGAAACAGACTCACGGTCCTTGGGAGGAGCCTGGTAGGTGTCACGACCGGGGTCGTAGCCCTGGGCGGGGAGACCCTCACCGGAAGGAGCCTTGAGCAAGAACTCGTTACCGTCCTTGTCCTTGAGCTTGTCGGTAAGGGGGTTGAACTTGAGGGTACCGGCAACGGTCATGGCAACCACAAGGTCGGGAGAGGCGACAAAGGCGTGGGTGGCGGGGTTGGCATCGTTACGACCAGTGAAGTTACGGTTGTAGGAAGAGATGATGGAGTTGGCCTCACCCTTCTTGATGTCGCGACGATCCCATTGACCAATGCAGGGACCGCAAGCGTTGGCAAGGATGACACCACCGTACTCCTCAAGAGTCTGGAGCTGGCCGTCACGCTCAATGGTGGCACGGATCTGCTCGGAACCAGGAGTGATGGTGAAGATAGACTTGGACTTCAGGCCGTGGTCGAGGGCATCGCGGGCGATGGAGGCGGCACGGGACATATCCTCGTAGGAAGAGTTGGTGCAAGAGCCGATAAGACCGACCTTGAGCTCCTCAGGCCACTTGTTGGTCTCAACAGCCTCCTTGAACTTGGAGATAGGGGTAGCCAAGTCAGGGGTGAAGGGACCGTTGACGTGGGGCTCGAGCTCGGACAGGTTGATCTCAATCAGCTGGTCGTACTCAGCACCCTCATCCTCGCGGAGCTCCTTAGCGTAGCTTCTGGCGAAGTCACCGATCTGCGTACGCTTGGTGGCCTTCAAGTAGTCGTACATGCGGTCGTTGAAGGGGAAGAGAGAGGTGGTGGCACCGATTTCAGCACCCATGTTACAGATGGTAGCCATACCAGTGCAGGACAGGGAGTTGACACCAGGACCGTGGTACTCAATGATAGCACCAGTACCACCCTTGACAGTGAGAAGACCGGCGACCTTGAGGATGATGTCTGTACGGACTGGTGAGCTAATTGTCCCAAACATTCACAATTGAAGTGTTAAAACTTACCCTTGGGGGTAGTCCAGCCAGACATCTCACCGGTCAGCTTAACACCGATGACCTTGGGGGCCTTCAGCTCCCAAGGAAGACCAGCCATGACATCGACAGCATCAGCACCACCGACACCGATAGCAGCAATAGCAAGACCACCAGCGTTAGGAGTGTGAGAATCGGTACCGATCATCAGACCACCGGGGAAGGCATAGTTCTCGAGGACGATCTGGTGGATGATACCGGAACCGGGCTTCCAGAAACCAATGTTGTACTTGGCGGTAGAGGACGCCAAGAAGTCGTAGACTTCCTTGTTGATCTCGTTGGCACGGGCAAGATCCTTGTCACCACCAAGCTGAGCCTCAATCAAGTGGTCACAGTGGACAGTGGTGGGGGTAGCGACGGAGGGCATGCCAGCGGACATGAACTGAAGGATGGCCATCTGGGCGGTGGCATCCTGGCAAGCAACACGGTCGGGGCGCAGCTTCAGGTAGGAGGTACCACGCTCGATGTCCTGACCGTGCGGATCGTCAAGGTGAGAGTACAGAACCTTCTCGGCGTAGGTAAGAGGACGGCTCAAACGACGACGAACAATGTCGAGGTTCTCGGACATCTTCCTGTAGAATTGAAAAATAATACATTAGCACGCGATTCCATCAATGCGAATGCTGGTTGCATCTTGAGTTGATGAAGGTTGCTGTGGTGTTTGCGTACTTGTAGTTGATGTAGTTACCCTGCGAAGCGCCTGTTAGCAAATTGTGTTCCAGATCCGGTATTCGCATACCCGAAGCCAGCCGAGGGCACGGGAAGCTTTCATTAAGGGACGTCCACCACTCACCTTCTCGAGGTTGGTCATCTCGACCTTCTTGTCGAGGGGAGAGTCGCTGACGGTAGCCAGACCCCGGGTCCCGAGGAACTGTAACATTTCATAATTAGTATTCCAAGACTTCCTGAGTTTTCACCTCTTCCCAGAACTATCGCAGTGTGGGATTTCCAAGGTTGAAGGAAGGCTGGAAGGCTTACAAGACGGGACTTAGGGGCCTATCGACAGTTCAGTTAGTATTCCGTTGAGCCCAGGACGACATCAGATGGCCAGCCATCGACTCTCAATCTTGAGGGTCGATGGCTGTCTGCCTCGCTGAATAAGGAGTACGTGTCAAGGTAGAACTTACCAGCGCACCCATGCGCGCAAGCCTTGTGGAGATCATGATGGAAGCTCTCTATGCGAGGTGGGCAAGGCCGCAACACATCCAAGGAGAGACAACCCAAAAAGGTGTGATAGAGTGGAGTTGGAAAGAGAGAAAGAGGAGAAGAAGAGGAAGAAGTAAGAGAGAAGGGAAAATGGAGTAGATAAAAGGAAGCTCTCTGAGTGGGAAAGAATTCTTGTTTCCGCCAGACAGCGATTTACTAAACCGGAGAAGAGGGCCAGCGCCGTGTGACCCGTAACCGCTCCTTGACAGTACGAGTCCCGTACGCATTCGTAGCGTGCGACCGGAAAGATGGAAGTGGCTGGATCTACCCCCTTCTTACCGTCAGCATACGGTAATTTTGGTGAAATTCCGGTCGACCTTTTCAGACTTTCAGACCTCCCTTTCACCTCAAGGACCCATAATGCTCTCCTTTGCCTTTACCCGGCCAACCGCAGGGTGCCCGTCGATTCGAAAACGCTTCGCTGTCAGTGGTCTTTGCTCCAGGAGGCGTAATCGGACTGTCAAATCCGTGATCTGAGGATGCGCGGAAATCCACCCCCATGTCCTCCAAGACCCTTCACTTAGTTGCTATTCTACCTTTGTACGTTGGCGTAGCACTGGCTACTGGTATTTCGGTCTTGGTTCCGGGAAGGCCGTCATTGACGTGTTTCTGACAGTACAAGATTGTAATGCTGATTACTTGCCGGCCACCAGCGCCCGCACTCACAGCTCGTGCACAGGGCATGTGAGAGGCAGCGGTGACCCAATCATGTGTGACGGATTATATGCTACATCAAAGGACATTCTTTCGACGTCACCTTGTTGCAATGTCTTCTAGGAGTAGATGCTAGAATTAATGTCTTCACTCGCCATTAAGGAGGGTATAGAATATTTTGCTATGATCGCAAGAGTAGATTGCCCCCAAAGCACCATTCAAAAATACCGCACCGTCTTTTCCATCGGGTGTCTGTCTTGTTGCTGAGGGGACCTGCAAGTGGGCGCAAGAAGCCATTATTGGGTCGGTGTATTATTTCACCTAAACCACCAGTGGACGACTGGCTGTTCCGGCAGCAACATGCCGAACGCATAGCAACGTCATAAATTACGGAAACCACGGGGAAATGGCCGTACGAACAGCTCGCTGCTGACAGAGAGCCGAGCGTGAGCCGAGGCCTGCCGATGGGAGTCCCGCGGCCCGCCGCCAAGATCCTTGCCCCCAACGCCCAATCAAGTGCGAGACATTTGAGGAATTTCTTCTCGCACGCACAAAGGCGGAAATTTCAAGGGCAGCGACCCGCTCCTAGGTTTTAGTTTCGCTCCGTTTATCGGTACTAACTGCCCTCTACCACGATCACTGGAGAGCATCCCGTCAGGCTAGGTACTCCATACTATCGCTATTTTGGGCCTCCGTCGTGATATCAAGAAAATGGGCGCTGTTAGGAAAATCAAGACCAAGCGCAGGACTAGGTAAGGATCCTTCTTCTTGATAGTCCCGCATGTGTTGCGCATACGTGCATGGCTAATCTACCTTGTATTCGTATAGAGACTACGATCAAGTCCGCGCTGATATCCAGTCGTCTAAGCATCTCACACAATACAAAGCTACCAAAGATCCAGAGGACCTGCCCGGTCTAGGACAACACTATTGTGTCGAATGCTCAAAATGGTTTGAAAGCGAGTTCAACTTGGTCGGCCATAAGAAGGGCAAGAACCACAAAAGAAGGTCAGTTGATGGTTTCATATGCTCCGCGCAGATTACCCCGGATTTGCGATGCTAGTCACAACTTTATCGCCTCAATGCTCGTCTTCTTATGCTAATTCAACCGGTTCCAAATAGACTACGCATCATCCGCGAAGAAGCTCATTCGCAAAAAGCTGCGGAGGCCGCCGTTGGCCTGGGTACCGACAATGGCGTGAGAGCGCAGGAAGAGACCGTGATGGCCATGGAAGATTAAAAACTACAATTGATTCTACACAAGCAATCAGCCTCGCTCAAAAATCGCCAACGTGAAGCAGAGCGGGTTGGGCTTGCATGCAAACGACCCTTTCAGTACTGCGACAGACCTCTAATGGGCTCGAAAATTTTTTACCGCATCAATGCAAATTTGCAGCCGTTGTCGTTGTCACCAAAGTGATATGATTGGCTGTTTGCGGAGAAAGCTTGTCGCCCGACGTGTGATTCGCCCAGTCTCACCCTAAGCACGTGAAAACATCAGGTGCCGAAAATCGCCAGTTTGTGCCGACCGCACTGCTTCCGTCTTGCGGTGACCCCCTCGCAAAACTGCCGATTCTCGGAACGTCGCACAGTTAGGTCCCCACTCGGATCGGATCCGACTCCTCTTGGGCAAGAATAATTTACAAGCTGCAATTTTAATTACAGAACGTGGGGAATTGATCAGCTGTCCTGTTCCTCCTTAGTCGAGCTTCTTGTATATGTTCATGCTTCTTGTAGATATTTCATAAGCCATTCGTAAGTCGCCCACTGAAATAGTGATTGTCAGTGCGGTCCAATCTGCCGTTTGCGACCATCTCACACATACCTGAACCGCATTCACGATGAATGCCCTAAAGCTACACACACCAAGACCGCGGTAGAATGCCTTCAGACCTTCGGTCTGATAGACCTCCCTGGCAACTTGAATGGAGCCTGCATCGCGTGTCTGTATGCGAGACGGTAGAAGAGGGCAATCTTGGGGAGATGTTTCAATTGTCCCAGCCTGCAGCCTGGTCTTGATCACGTCTAGAGGGAAGACCGACGCCCAGGTGATGACGCCAGCAATGCCGCCGCAGAGAAGGATCTTCAATGCAGCCATATTCGTAGTATCATCCTCGGAGTTCATGAGACGCTTACAGTACTCGTAAGACCAGAAGCTGTGGCGGTGTAAGGTCAGTGTACGTCCTGTCAAGGAGCCGCAGAGGGTTAACGGCGGGGGGAAGATCTGGGGCAGGCAGATCGCATACTAAAATCCATAGCCAATGGCGTCTCTGGCGCAAGTGATTCCTCCTGCATAGTATAGGCCCCTCCAGCCTCGGGTACTAATGATATTTTTGGCGACGGTCCAGGAGGAGATCCCGGGCCGGGTGTCCAGCTGGGCTCGACATTTGATGAACTCTGTGGGAGCCGATACAGTCCAGCTGGCTAGCCCGCCTGCAGCGCCTGCGAGCCACACTTTATACAGAGACGTTCCTTGTGGTGAGGTCGGGTCTGTAATGGCTGTGTCCAGGGTCATCAATGACCGGTTGTAGGCCACGAAGAGCAGAGCGTTTAGGGCTCCATAACCCAGTATTGGAGCAGCCGAGCCTGTAATCAACCATTAGCATGGGTTCTCGGGTTCGGTTATACAGTAACGGGTTCATCGTGCTTACAGACCTCGCACAAGAGAAGTGACACTTTCCAGGCGGCTCAATTGCTGGGTTGTTGATGATGCAACGACTTCTGCATGCTGTCCCGCCTGTAGTCGAACCTTGATAATGTCAAGCGGGTTACCGATGATGATCCCAATAGCACCGCTCAGGTAGCCAGCCCAAAAGTCGGCGGACATATCATATGTGATAGAATTGGAGGGATTTTTGCACTCGGCAACGGTGAGTCGTCGTGGTTCGTACACAGTTGCTATGTCATCACTAACTAGAGAGCACTGACATGCGGCGTGGATATATTAACTAAACCATCCCGCATTAAGAGGCGACCCGAAAGTTACTATACTCGATAGGTCCTTAGCACTAACAGGTCTCTGCGGGGTATTTGCACTCGGGGTTTGGTCTAAAGTTCGAAGCCTCGGAATTGACATTTTTCCAAGATAGGAACCATGAGAAGAAGTCGGAATCAGAGACCAGCCAGTGTCCCTACCTAGCTCGCTAAGCTAGTGAGTTCCAAGGTATCTGTCCCCTCTGCAACACACCGCATTTTCACAGGCATCGTTACAGAACAAAATTGTGCATTTTCATACAAAGTACGTGTACTGCTTCCATGCCGTTGTTTTAGGCATTGCGACATATCACCGAAATATAAATCCTCGCACCATGCCACGGCCATACATGGGGACTATGCTGCAAGGTTCAACGCAGCGGCCCAATCCACAAAATAAGAGCCACCGTATTCTCTCCAAGCTACTCCGTACTGAGCTCCAATATAACAACCTCAACTCATCGGACCGTGAATGGCTAGACAACTCATCAACTTTCAAAGACAATTTGATACTGCCCGTAGCAATAGCTGCACCTGAAGGGAGTAGTGCATTTCTATGGACTTTAGCATGAATAGGCGATGCCGAGTTCAACCAGTTGATGGGCGCCCGGGGCATCATGACGAGTTGCGTAACTCTTGATGGTAAAAATTTCATCAACAGTCTTCCCAACCGCGCCAGTATAAATTGCCTTAAGTTCGCACGTTTACCAAAATCCGCAGCGGTCAATTGTTGTTGACAAGATCATGTGACCACGCGATACTTTGGTGTCCAGCGATTGCAGGCAGACGCGCTAGGATGTGGCGAGCGCGTCCTACTGACTCGGCGAAACAACAACCGCCACCACCAGCGATCAAGCGACAATTAGAGGGCATTAAACATAGGCCGATACGTATCATCCATGTAAGTCTCTTCTTGATGCGCTATCTCATAACCCTTCTAATGTACATAGGTATCGCCCACGACCCGTCCTCAGAGAGAATGCCACGAGCACGCCGTCGAAGCTCCAACCCGGCACTCCCGGGAGCTCCATCGACCGGCTTTCGAGGCCCTTCAAATGCCCTGGATCGGCCACCCCTACACGCACATCAGACAAGCCTGCGAGGAAGAGACGGAAAGTGAACTACGCAGGGGCCGACGGAGAAGGCAATGATGAGGATGAAAAGCCGTACACAAACGAGGACCGTCTCGCGCTCGCCACCCGGGACGTGAATAGGTTTCCTGTCTTCAAACCGAAGGACAAGGACACGGCCTTTCGACAGAGATTCAAGGTGCCGCTTATCAACAAACAAGTGGATAATTTTGGTGCCCGACCAGCCCCGACGCTGGGGATGAGGCAAGGCGCGACGTTCGTCGTGAAACCGTTGCATGACCCCAGTGGCGAGTTTGCGATAGTGCTCTACGACCCGACTGTTGATGAGGTGGAAGAAGAAGAGCCCAAGAAAGAACCGCAAGGCGATACAGAGGGTGAAAAGCCTCAACTGGACGAACCGCTGGTACATAAGAGCTTGGCAGATATTCTTGGACTCAAGAAGAAGGTCGAAGACAGGCCTAAGGTCCCCGTTGTCATCGATCCACGACTGGCAAAGGTTCTACGGCCGCATCAGGTGGAAGGTGTTAAGGTGAGTATCGCTCCCGGCGGAAGATGGTTTGCTTTCTCTGACTAACATGAACTCTTACGTAGTTCCTTTATCGTTGTACAACCGGAATGGTAGACAAGAACGCGAATGGGTGCATTATGGCTGATGGCATGGGCTTGGGTAAAACGGTATGATGATCGGCTCCGAATTAGTTCCATCTACTCACAATAGCAGCTTCAATGCATCTCGTTGATGTGGACATTGCTCAAGCAATCCCCGGAGGCTGGAAAGACTACCATTCAGAAGTGCATCATCGCGTGCCCTTCCAGTTTGGTTGGAAACTGGGCCAATGAGCTTGGTAGGTCACAAGTGAGGATCGGACAACACGTTAACTGACATTATTTGCAGGCAAATGGCTTGGCAAGGATGCAACAACCCCATTTGCAGTCGACGGCAAGGCCTCAAAAACGGAGCTCATTGCTCAAATGAAACAATGGGCCATCGCGTCCGGAAGATCGGTCGTGAGGCCGTGTCTGATCATTTCTTACGAAACCCTTCGCTTGTATGTTGATACACTGAAGGATAGCCCGATTGGGTTACTACTATGCGACGAAGGCCACCGACTGAAAAACAAGGAGAGTTTGACCTGGACTGCACTCAACAGCCTGAATGTACAACGCCGGGTGATCTTGTCTGGTACTCCAATCCAGAATGATCTGTCGGAGTACTTTTCACTTCTCCATTTCGCGAATCCGAACCTCCTGGGCTCGCAGAACGACTTCAGAAAGAGGTTCGAGTTGCCAATTCTTCGAGGAAGAGATGCCGCGGGCTCAGAAGAAGATCGAAAGAAAGGAGATGAACGGCTGGCTGAGCTTTCAGGCATTGTGAACAAATTCATCATTCGCCGAACGAACGAGCTGCTGTCTAAGTACTTGCCGGTCAAGTACGAGCATGTCGTATTCTGCAACATGTCCCAGTTTCAACTCGACCTCTACAATCACTTCATTCAAAGTCCAGAGATCAAGAGCTTGCTCAGGGGTAAAGGGAGTCAGCCGTTGAAAGCTATCGGGCTATTAAAGAAGCTTTGCAACCATCCTGATCTCCTGAATCTATCCACGGACCTTCCGGGCTGTGAACACGCATTTCCGGATGACTATGTCCCTCCCGAAGGACGAGGACGCGACAGAGATATCAAATCCTGGTATTCCGGCAAGATGATGGTCTTGGACCGTATGCTGGCACGTATTCGCCAGGACACGAACGACAAGATTGTTTTGATTAGCAATTATACGCAGACATTGGATCTCTTCGAAAAGCTTTGCCGGTCACGGGGATATGGCTCTCTGCGATTGGACGGTACCATGACCGTGAACAAACGACAAAAGCTCGTCGACAAGTTCAATAACCCCGATGGAGAGGAATTTGTGTTTCTTCTCAGTAGCAAAGCGGGTGGGTGTGGTTTGAACTTGATAGGTGCGAATCGACTGGTTTTGTTTGATCCCGACTGGAACCCGGCAGCCGACCAGCAAGCCTTAGCGCGTGTCTGGCGTGACGGTCAGAAGAAGGACTGTTTCGTCTACCGCTTCATCGCTACTGGCTCAATTGAAGAGAAGATATTCCAGCGTCAATCACACAAACAATTACTTTCTTCGTGCGTGGTGGACTCCGCCGAGGATGTCGAGCGACACTTTTCTCTGGAATCACTTCGCGAGCTGTTCCAATTCAAACCGGATACTAAGAGTGATACGCACGATACCTTCAAGTGCAAGCGCTGTCGGCCCGATGGGACACAATACATCAAAGCCGCTGCCATGCTGTACGGTGACACCAGTACTTGGAACCATTTTGTGAACGATGGAGAGACTGGGCACCTCAGCAAGATTCAGGACTTGCTGATCCGACAGGAAACTGGGGAAAGAGATGTCTCTGCGGTTTTCCAGTATATCAGTCATTGATAGACAGCGACCACGATTTTATCTTGTCATGTCTTAGCGTGCATTAAACAAGCCTCTCAAATATATGATTCAATGCCTTTACACTAATATATGAGAACCATGAATTCCATTATTGTAAACGGGATTGAGGTGGTTGTATTTGAGCGAGGGTAAACACACTGCCAGTACCAGTTATCGATTAGGCGGTAAGGAGTTGGCGGCAATGCTGAGTGCTGACACTACGTCACATCGCGTCCGCTATCCAGTATCCACGTTGTGCCAACGCATCTTCCTGTGAGAGCTCCCCACATTGGTATTGACATCGTGTCTACTGCCGAGCGACAAGGCTAATTATTGGCATTAGCAAAGTGACCGTGAGGGCGACTCTACCTACCCAAGGAAGAAGCCGTGCCAACTGCGACTGATGGCTTCGGAATAATAGCTGGCTGCTAACTTTCCATACTAGTTCATTTACAGCTCCTCCTTTCTGTCGAGTCAACACCGCCTCACCGCCCAGCCTAGCCAGAACGACGCTTGCACACCATGAAACCCATCTAAAATCAGCCCCCGGAGCTTAATCAGTCGTTCGATTTTATAGGAATCGGAGCGATGGATCACTCAATCCAACGTTCGCTGAACGATAAGCTCTACGACCGGAGGAAACAGGGAGCTTTGGAGTATGGATATTTTTTTTATCGATAAGAGGCCAGAGTAGTCGCAATCAACGGGTAGTCAAACTAACTCATGCGATTCTCCTACCAGGCTCGAGAAGGTCGTTCGCGAAGCCGCTTTCAGGGGGGAGCACGAGGAGATCCAGAAGATCGTCGACCAGCTCTGTCACGATTATGCCTACGCCGTGCATCAGCCTCATGCCAGGAATGGCGGCTTGATTGGCCTCGCTGCCGCTTCGATAGCGTTGGGATCCGTGAGTTCCATCCAAACCCTGTTCCCTCGCCAAAGCAACCTCGATGTCCCGGGTATATTGAACTGTTGGATTACTATCTAGGAAGGTGTTGCACCGTACTTGAAGGAGATCGTACCGCCGGTGCTCGCATGCTTTTCTGACCAAGATGCGCGCGTTCGGTACTATGCTTGCGAGAGCATGTACAACATTGCCAAGGTTGCGAAAGGGGAGATCCTACTCTTCTTCAATGAGATCTTCGATGCCTTGAGCAAAGTGAGTGCTTGTTGTCGATGAGCTTGGATTTGCTGTCTGCTAACCATTGTCCTTTGTGGTTCCATAGCTTGCTTCCGACTCCGAACTGTCAGTCAAAAACGGCGCAGAACTTCTCGACCGACTTGTCAAGGATATCGTTTCCGAATCGGCAGCCTCCCATGTCTCAGTGCTGCAGCTCACGGAGAAGCAGCAGGCAGATCCAGAGTCGTTGGAGGATGCGGATCTACCGACTGCGTTCTCGCTCCCGAAATTCATCCCCTTGCTTAAAGACCGGATCCACGTCACCAGTCCTTTCACCAGAACATTTCTGGTTTCGTGGCTCACGCTCCTGGACACAATACCTGACCTCGAGCTCATCTCGTTTCTGCCGGACTTCCTCGGAGGGCTGATCAAATTCCTCGGGGATCCGAATAGAGATGTCAATATCGCGACTCAGGCGCTTCTGGATCGCTTTCTGTCGGAGATCAAGAGGATTGCTCGGCTCAAGAAGGGAATCGAGGAAAGCCGCAAAGACCAAGGGAGCGAGAATAGACAGTCCACGACGAGCGACGGCCTCAGTGTGACGACGACGACCGATCAGACTCTGGCTGTCGAGTCGGAGACAACTGACAACGCGATAGAAGATTCTGAGATCGATTCCGTGACCGATGAAGATGGATTCAACGCAGACGGAGACTGGATTCCTGGCCAAGACGTCCAGATCGATTATGCAAGGATACTGGAGATCCTCGTGGGATATGTTGACACATCATTCGGTGAGCTATGATTCACTTGCTCTAGTCCCTGGTGGAACAGCGACTTACGCGCTATCATAATCCGCTAGTGGAAGAAATGCAGTTGACGGCTTTGCGTTGGATCGACAATTTCTTCGAGATCAGTCCCGAAGACATCTTACCCTTTGTGCCTCGCCTGCTGACCCAAGTCCTCCCGGCGATGTCCAGCGGCTCGGACCAAGTGCGGCAGGCCGCCAACCGAGTGAATACATCTCTGCTGGAATACATCGTCACGTTGTCCGAAGACACGTCGGAGGAGACCTCCCGACAGGGGCCAGCAACGACCAAGCCCAGTAACACGAATAGCAAAGACGTGGTCGTCGAACGACGGTCGTCCACGCCAGGCAGCAGACCCTCCGAAGGCCCGTCGACCGAGCCGACCCCCAGGAACAGCATCATCTCCACGTCCGTGCCGCCCGCCGATCTCGACTACGCGGCGGCGGTCAACTCGCTGACGCTGCAGTTCCTGAACGAGAACGAGACCACCCGGGTCGCGGCCCTGTCCTGGCTGATCATGCTCCACCGCAAGGCGCCGAAGAAGGTGATCGCGTTCAACGATGGCACGTTTCCGGCCTTGCTCAAGACGCTGTCCGACCCCGCGGAGGTGGTGGTGACCAAGGATCTGCAGCTCCTCTCGCAGATCTCCCGGAACAGCGAGGACAGCTACTTCAAGTCCTTCATGGTGAACCTGCTGCAGCTCTTCTCCACCGATCGGAGTCTGCTGGAGGTGCGCGGGAACCTCATCATCCGGCAGCTGTGCATGAACCTCAGCCCCGAGCGCATCTACAGGACTCTCGCAGACTGTCTCGAGAAAGAGGAGGTGAGATTTTACCACCACACTCAAGAACCATCACGACTGAAACCCCCCACTGACTATTTTCCATGACGTGACTACAGGACCTCGAGTTCGCCAGCATCATGGTCCAGAATCTCAACAACAACCTCATCACCGCCCCCGAGCTCTCGGAGCTCCGGAAGCGGCTGAGGAACCTCGACAACAAGGTAGGGTGTATCGGCAGCACATATTCCAAGAAACTGACCCAATGTCAGGACGGCCAGGCCTTCTTCGTCGCGCTATTCAGGTCCTGGTGCCACAACGCGGTCTCGACCTTCTCGCTCTGTCTGCTCGCACAAGCCTACGAGCAAGCATACAATCTCCTCCAAGTCTTGTACGATTTTCTCTTCCCAACCAATCCCGGTGTTCATAGTCCACTAATGAACATCTGCCAAAGTGCCGAGCTCGAAATGACCGTCAACATGTTAATCCAAATCGACAAGCTGGTCCAGCTGCTCGAATCCCCCGTCTTCACCTGTCAGTTATCTCTGCCCCAGCTCCCGCACATCAAAGCTCATCAACCCCAACAACAACAGACCTCCGTCTCCAACTCCTCGAACCAGAACGATACCCCTACCTCTACAAATGCCTGTACGGAGTCCTGATGCTCCTCCCGCAAAGCTCCGCCTTCGCCGCCCTGAAGAACCGACTCAACAGCGTCAGCAGCATCGGACTCCTCCACACCGGTCCCCGACTGTAAGCCCCCACCCCCTCCTCCCCACAAGCATCAGAATCCCAAACCCTGCATTCAGAATAGCAATCTCTAACACCCAGTAAAATCCAGAACCGCCCTCCCCTCATCCCTACCCACCAACTCGACCTCCACCTACGACCGCCCCACCGGCAGCAGCCGCCTCAAACGCGAAGACTCCTCCAGCTCAACCTACACCACCTCCTCCGCTGCGGCCGCGGCAGCAACCTCCGCATCACTATCATCCAGCACCTCCTCGATCCGGTGGGTCGAACTCCTCGACAAATTCAAATCCGTCCAGGAGAAGGCCCGCCGCGCCCAGCGCGCCTCGCAGCGACCCCTTGACCAGGACGGCGGCGGGCCCTTTGGCGGTGACGGAAGGGGACTCATACAACACCCCGGCGCAGGCGGCGGCGTCGATCTGGTTCACCGCGGGGCCCGCGACCGAAGTACCATCGCCGCCCTGTTGCCAGATGTGCCGAGGGGAGGCGCGGCGGGCTTGGGGATGGGGATGGGAGGAGCCGGAGCCGGAGCCGGTGGTGGGGACGGGGCGCGCGCCGGTGGGCCCGATGCCGGTGGTCATGGTGGTTCGGCGAATGCAGGGGCAGGTGCAGGGGCAGGTGCTGGTTCTGGGCCGGGCGCTGCAGCAGCAGCTGGGGGCGGCGCGGCCGGTCGAGCCGCGGCCGGGGCCGGGCACAGACATAAATCCAGTCTCCCGAACCTGGGTCGCTTGGGGATCGGGAGTCGCAAGTCGAAACGGTGATTGTTTCGGCTATTCTTGATTTCTGGGCCTCGGAGAAGACGGGGGAGGGGGGGGTTCCTTGTTTTGCGTTTTCGTTTTGTTTTGTTTGTTTTGCATTTCGGGAAGTTGTCAAGAGAGCGGAAAATGGGGCCCCGTTTCGTTCCATCTTTATATGGAGGTGAATGGGGAGGTCGGTGAATGATGAACAGTAGAGAGGAGGTGCTGCAGCGCGGTGTCTTGAACCTGCCTATCCCGAGATTACCCAGGATATATCCCTAGATGTGAAGCTGTCACTGCTTGTATCCCGCCTTGCTTCACAATGATGTGCGGGAGCTTGCCATGATGAATATGATATCATTAGACCATCGCATCCCAACCTCGAGATTTACTATACCTTTCTTTGGCTCCTTCACGTGACTGATGGCAAACATGTGGAAGTCAGATGCTAGTAGCAAACGTATATTCGGGGTAGACCGTGTAATGTATGTACAGTAAGGGCAGCAAGAGCAGTTTGAAACAGATAGATGCGCCGTCGAGGTCTCGCTAATGGGCTCGAGTAAAATATGGACAGATAGAAAGTGCAACATCGCTTGAGCGATCACAACTCCGAAGCAGAAACAAGACGACGGAGGCTAGAACCAACGGAGCATAGTCAGCGGTCGAAACAGATCATGCATGAAAGGCGTCAGCAAGATGGTAGCATATGACTCCCAGAAAATAGCCACGAGGAGATGCAGAGTGTTGAAAGGCCAATTGAACCGGCAGTTGGGAAGCTCCTGGATGACCCGGGGACCAAGTTTCAACTGCGCGGGAGCGAGATAAGCCAGCGCACAATGGTGCGATTCTTTGTGATAGATGGATCGAACCAATCTCGCACCCATCGCAGCATGGACGAGACATCCGAGGTCAGCTTCAAAGGCAAGAAAAACCATGGACTTTTTCCCGCTTGGGTGCTGGACCCGACGAATGGAATGAACAAGCAAAGAAGGACAAGTCGTCATATCCTCCACACGAGACGTTATGTCGAGGATCAATGGTCGAACGATATGGAATTGAGGCGAAGCGTTAGATCGGGTTGGGTGTGGTGCCAGAATCACCGCCAGCGCGAATCCCCAGATGATCCCCATGTTGGGGGCTTCCAGTAGCCGCCCGTGGATTGCTTGGAGACAGTGCCGGTGGAGGAGTTCGATCCGCTGGAATAATGGTATTCGCCGTCGACATACTGCACGCCCGAGAAGGTGCTCCGGTGCTTGCGACGAGCATAACGCTGCTCTAGACGGTAAAGCTCCAGCTCTGTGAAGCCATTCTGTTAGCATGGGGCTGCTTTTGCGGGGGGGTTGCGATCGGGTCCGGGAGTGGTCAGGGGCTTGCACTGGCGCGCGACCATGAGGAGTTCAGAAACAACGTACTTGCTTGCAACTTCTCAATGAAGCCCATTTTGTGAGTGATAATGTGAGTGATTTTGTGTGTGTAGTTGTGTTGGAGAGTGGTTCGGCTAGTTCGGAATCGGGCCGTTAACGTTTGGGGGCGGAGGGAGGAGAATTGTATAAGATTGTTGGGTCAAGTATTTTGAAGGGACCAGGTTGCAATCGAGCGAGCGATATCTCTGAGTGAGCCTTGAGCTGCACGAGAAGGAGGGAAGGCTGGTTTATGCAGTAGTGCGGTAGGGGATGGGTGGATGGTGGGAAAGGGAGCTAGATGCAAGTCCGAAGCAAAGTAGCCGAGTGCCAGTGCGATTGGAGGGTTAATAGCTTTAGTGGCAGGGAGACGCAGTGGCTCGGAAGGGTTGCACCCCAGGAGAGACTCTGCTCCGGAACTAAAGTGGAGGGGATAAAACTAATTGGGACTCGAGGGAATTATTGGCAACACTATAGGACTAGAAGGCACGGAAGAGGAACCGAAAGGAAATAAGCCGAGAACGAACGTGGGGTTTGGGGGGAGGGGGAGTAAGAGGGGATAGTGAATGAGACGAGTCCACGAGGGAGGGAGGGGAGGAGGGGAAGAAGAAAGAAGAAGCAGAAGCAGAAGAAGCAGAGAAGAAACTGACGGAGTGTCGACAGAGCGACCTTGACGGACAGGGAAGGAAGACGGCAACTTGACGGCAACTCGACTGCAACTGGACTGCAACTGGACTGCAACTGCGACTGCAACAACGTGGGCTGTGGGGACCTTAACTGAACTGGGTTTAGCCAGGGGTGGAACGAGGTTTAGTTTCTTGGTCTGGTCTTAGACTCTTCGTCTTGGAGCAATTGCCAGTTGGGCTAACAAAACCTCATGGCAAAATCAAAAACACACAGTCTCCCTCATGGCCCGTGTGGCCTCGTCAACCCCTGACTAGTCGAATACTAGCCATCACTAGCCCCAACACCATCACACTATCCTTCCCCTTCCGCTTCATTCTCAACACGACCAACACGACATATGGCTACACCTTGCTGGAAATCAACCATCAAGGTTTGAATCTATTCGTATAGTCACCCTTGGCAGCTCACCCAGGAACTTGTTATCCCATGGCCCCATCGGGTCGATCGTCGAGAAAACTCCTTTCTGCATGCTTGTTTGCGGAGGATAAACGTGATGGTCTGTCCCTGGGCTGCAACGCACGGCCGCTTTCCGGGTTGACACCTGCAGTTCCCATGGACGCAAACGGTCCGATCGGCAGGTGATTCTTCGACATGCTTTCCCACAATGGACAATAGTTTGGGTTTTGGTAGTTGTTGCTGAAATACTTCAGCTGCTGATCAGACACGCGACCCGACGAGAATTGACCCGACGAGAGAGCCAGAGACGTCCGACACAGCCCCGAACGGGCCTGGCGTACCCAGCCAAGTGGTCGTATCCATGGTCGACTTTCAATAGCCCTGCCGAACGCTGTCCCAAAGCCCTGACCCAAACTACAAGATGCTGGAGCTCCATCGGACCCCCGCCGGCCGGTGGTTTGGGTTAGATAGAGAAGAAGGCTGGTCGTTAGACTAGCTGCTAGTCTACTGACCGGTACCTGGCACCATTTTAGTTGATGATAAACTCGTTCTGATTGTCAACGACCGCGTGAGCTGCGAGTCGTGTCTCTTAATCTAATTGACCGATGGAACTGCTTCCCAAAGTATATTTACGTAAGCCTTGGTCTCTGGTGGTCCAGATCTCCATAAGAAGCCCAAGAAAATAATACGATACACCCACGAGCTAGCTAGCTCACTTCTGTCGCTGGGGGAAGGACGGGCCAGCGTCTTGCTCCACTTCCTCCTCTGCTTTGCTTTCCGATCCCTGCTCTTCCGTGAGAGACATTTCCTGCGCTGTGGCGGACGTTAGCGTTCGAAACGAGTTCGTATGGCTTGCTTACGGGGGGAGTGGGGGGGAAAAGCAAACTCCACTTACTGTTCCACAATTCAGAGTAAATGCCATTCTGTTCCAGAAGTTCGCGGTGCGAACCTATCTCCACCACACGACCCTCCTTCAGCACCAGGATCTGGTCGCAGTCGTAGATCGTGCGCAATCGGTGGGCCACGAAGACGCTCGTGCGGCGCTTCTCCTTAAGAATACTGTTGATGTTCTGCAACAGTGCCTTCTCAGTGTAGGTGTCCAATGCAGAAGTCTGGTCGGGTTATCCGTTAGCTCCTTGGCTAAGCCCATAGCACAAGCCAGTCTACTGGCTGGAAGGGCATGACACTTACCGCCTCGTCGAAGAAGAGAAGCTCGGGATCCTTCAGGATTAACCGCGAGACAGCCAGTCGCTGCTTCTCACCACCGGAAATCATCATCCCCCGCTCTCCGACAGCCGTCCTATATCCATCAGGGAGCTTCTCGATCAGTTCGTGGATGTGCGCGCGTCGCGCAGCCTTGCGGACCGCTTCATCGGTCGCGTCAATCTGTCCATACCGGATATTGTGTTCGATCGTGTCGTTGAACAGGGGAGTATCCTGGGGCACCACCCCGATGGCCTTGCGCAGACTCTCGAGCGTCACGTCACGAATGTCTTGCCCGTCGATGAGGATCCGGCCCTCCTGGACGTCGTAGAAGCGGAAAAGCAGGCGCAGAATCGTTGATTTGCCGCAACCACTGGGCCCGACGACCGCGAATTTCTGACCGGCAGGGATCGTGAAGCTGGCGTTCTTGAGGATCGGCCGCTCCGGATGGTAGCCGAAGGTAACGTTCTCGAACCGGATCTCACCCCCTTGGTTCAGCACCAGGGGCTTCGCGTTGGGCCGCTCAATGATGTTCACATTGACCTTTTGCAGGTTGAACAACGTTTCCATGTCCAACAGTGACTGGCGAAGCTCGCGGTACACGGATCCGAGGAAGTTGAGAGGGACGGAGAGCTGGAAGACAAGCTGATTGACCATGACCAGGTCACCAACGGTCAGAGTGCCAGTAGCCACTCCGTCGGCCGCAAGGTACATCATTGCCGCCAGGGCGCTGGAGAAGATCATGTTCTGCCCAGAGTTGAGGAATGCCAGGGAGGTGGTGACTTTGATCGAAGCATCCTCGTAATTCTTGAGCGCCTTGTCGTAGCGAGCAACCTCAAATTTCTCGTTGTTGAAGTACTTGACGGCCTCGTAGTTGATCAGGGAGTCCACAGCAACGGTGGCACCACGATTGTCGGCTGCGTTGGCCTGCTTCCGAAACTTGGTTCTCCAGGCGGTGGTGGTGATGGTGAAGGCCGAGTATGCGAGCATGGTAGTAGCCGTGATCGCTGCGAATTTGAAGCCATACTGATACGTCTGTCGTCACGGTTAATAAGGACATTGAACCATTCAGATAGGAACAGATCGGGCCAAGCTATACCAAAATCCCGCACACGAGGGAGATTTCCAGCGCGGTAGGGACGACGTGGAAAACCATGGAGGTCAACAAGAAGCTGATACCCTTGGTACCACGGTCAATTGCCCGCGTCAATCCTCCGGTCTGGCGCGTGAGGTGAAAGTTCAGATCGAGGCGTAGTAGATGTTCAAAGACGTTTCGCGCAACCCTGCGGATCGCCTTTTGGGCTACACTGGCGAAGACCGCATTTCTGAGTTCCTGGAACACAGTGGCGCCGATTCTGGTGACACCGTCTGGCAGTTCACGGTTAGGTCTGCGCAGTTGAACGGCGAGATCCTGACTTACAGGCGATAATCATCGAGCCCGCTACTGTATAGGCCGTGCCACCTACAGTCGCAAAATCCACATTCATCGAGTCAACGATGTTTTTGAAGTAGAAGGGTACCTCGACGTTCAAGATCTAGAGGCGCCCGGTCAGCACACCAGTCTGAATGACCAACCTTCTCCATGCAACTAACCTTAGCTCCGATAAGTAGAGAAAGGGCGCTTCCGACTCGAAGCTTCGTTCCCCAATCGTCCTGCACCGTATTCAATTAGCACCGCTCCGAATAGCTCCGCCGCACTTCCAT